GCATTGGGACAGACCTGCGGCCCCTAAAATGTCGACATATGATGGGAGAAGTGACTGGCGGACGTACCATCTCAAATTCACCAGAATATCAGACAGATATCACTGGCTGGAAGATCAGAGATTAGACAAGTTGGTCGAGTACAAAATAAAACGAGTGCAGAATGATTACCAACAGCTCTGCAAGAAAATGGACGAGGGGTTTGGTAGGAAAGACATGCCTCAGATCATTAGAAGGCAACTGCATGACCTTCGACAAGTCGTGGACGGGCCACTTGAAGAATATGCAGAGAGGGCTCAGGAGCTGGCAGTGGAGGGATTTCCTAACTCGCCGGACAACTTCATTGAAATTGTGGCGGTTGATGCTTTCCTTAAGGGATGCAGTGACAAGAATGCAGCCCTTACTGCTACGAACAGGGACCCTAAGTCGTTGGACGAAGCCTTAAAACTGGTTAAGGGTGCAATGACCAACTATAAAGTGATATATGTGTCGAGTAAACCGGAAGTGAGGAGAGTCTCCTCCGAGGAAAAAAATGGTGACTCAGCAGGATCTGTCAAGCAGATAGTAGGTAAGGAGACTGAGTCAACAGAGTTTGGTAAGATTTCATTTCAACAAATTTAATTTCATTTAGAAAAAGGATTGAACAACAGGCATAGCCTATATTAGTTCTCTCCTAAAGGTAATAATTGGTGTATAAATATATATATATATAATATAGTATATTGTTATTTTGAAATTTCAAAGTTGATTATTTTAAGTATGAAACATAAAATGTTTAAATATGAGATATGAGTTTGGAAGTAAGGACAAAATTTAAGAGTTGTTATAATATGTGAAATAGTGTATTCACTATGTTTTCCAAACCTATATATTTTTTAGAGCCTCGAATCCAACATCCATGACAGGATTCCCTCCAGACCAATACAGACCAATACAGACCAAAAGTGTCCATATTGGCTTATCAGCCACTGTAACGATTTGTTGTGTACATTATTTTCAGATTTTTATTCATTTTTTATTTTTAATAAATGAATGACAAAATTGAGTAAAAATGAATTTACCCACCATTATGAGATTGTCCTTACTTAGTAATTATTCTATCACATAAAACAACAATGCAATAACTATAATGAATGATACATAGCATACAAAACATACAAAATATATGCCTATCAGATCAAAAGGGGGAAAGGCGGCCATAAGAAAAAGAAAAGGTGATGATGACACACAATGTTTATGATGTAGAAGCACAGTCATAACTGATGGTTTTCATATTTAAGAGACATAATATCAAATCAGAAATATATAATGTATTATATATGTGGAAATATATGTGTAGCTGTGACAAACGAGGCAGAACATTCAAATATATTTACATTGGTTTGTTCATCACAATCACCACAGCCAGATAGAAGTACATCCAGAGTGTAGTGATTGTGATTAACATTCGGTAAGATGGAGGACCGATGGAGGAAAACGGAGCGTGATGTTCAGGAACTGAAGAACAAACTGGAAGCTGATGTCAATGAAATTAAGGCTAAGCTTGGGAATGTTCTGGATTTGGTTACCAGGTCACATTCAGGTACGCCATCGCGAGGACCATCTCCCTCCAGTTCAACATCTTAGAAGTCTTTCCGTTGCTACAGATGTGGCAGTGAGGACCATTTTATTAAAGACTGTTATAGGTCGCCATCTCCAAGAAGGGGATATGGGGGATCAGATAGTGCCAGATATAGATCACCATCCCCAAAACGGGATTGAAACGGCCAGGGACCAAGGAAGTAGGATATTCCTTGGTTCACCAGGTACATACAGATAGGCCACCACCTAAACCACCTGGGGATCAGAAATAGACGGTTGTCCGGATGTACAACCATAGCAACACTAGGTTCCCATTACAGTGAATAGTATCACAACAAAAGCTGTTGTGGATACCGCGGCACAGGTCTCAGTGATGAACAAGAGCTTCCATCAAGAATTAGAACCAGCTGTTAAAACAACACAACAGCTAACCCTTAAAGGAGTAGGTAATAATTCAGAGATTCAAGCGGATAGGACAGAAGCAACGAACACCAGAATAGGATACATCAGTATAACCTGGAGTTGGGTAGTTGCTGATATAGAGGATACCATTATCGTAGGATTGGACTTCCTGGACCATCATCATGCAGTTATTGACATGCCTAACTATTGTGTATGGCTTGATCATTGTAGGATCCCAGCTTCTTGTGTGAGTGATGGGGAACAGGATACTACTGCAATCTACCGGGTGTTAGTGGGAGAAAGGGTAACAGTTCCACCTCATTCTGTTCAGTTTAAAGGGAGATCCGGGCGGACTTCGCCGTCATCTTTGGCTGGTAACGTTATGGTGCAACCAACACACCGGCTGGAAGGGCTACTAGCACCTAGCATTGTCAGTTGCAAAGTATCGGATATCTACGTGCCTTTAACAAATATTTCCGATGAACATATTACTGTCAAATGTGGACAACCACTTGGAGTCGGAATGGAGGCCTGTGAGATGTTGGATCAACCAGTTGATACCGGGAGCAGGGATGTCAGGCTTATCAGGTCAGACACGGGTTCAGCCATTACCGATACGGAGGTTAATAAGCTCAAAATGGACCTTCCAGAACATCTTAGAGACCTATTTGTCCGTTCAACTGTAAATCTGGGGGCTGAGCAGATAAAAGAGGTCTCAAACTCGCTCTACAATTGTCGGTCGGCGTTCGCAAAAAAATGATCTATATTTGAGTGTTTAATGGACCAATTACACAACGAATGAATACTGAAGATGCTAAACCTGCCCGTCAGAGAATGAGGAGAACACCTCTAGGGTTTAAGGAGGAGGAGAAAGCTCACCTTGATCAAATGATCGAGAAGGGAGTTGTACAGCCATCGGAGTCTGAATGGGCTGCACCGCCGGTACTTGTAAGGAAGCGGGAGGCTCCTTAAGGTATTGCATAGACTTCCGGGCTTTGAACAAGATTACCATCAAAGATGCTTTCCCTCTTCCCAGGATAGAGTCGTGTATCGACACCTTAGCCGGAAGTACTTTCATGAGCACTCTGGATATGGCGGCTGGCTATTGGCAGGTGGAGCTGGAAGAACAGGACCGACACAAGACTGCATTTATAACTAAATACGGCTTGTTCGAACATCTGCGGCTCCCGTTCGGGTTGTGTTATAGCCCGGCGACATTCTCGAGGGTAGTTCAGCTCGTCTTACATGGCTTATCCTGGGACATTTGTCTCGCATACCTAGATGACATTCTCGTTCTCGGAAAAAACTTTGAAGAACACCTAGGTAATCTGACAAGAGTCTTAGAGAGGTTTAAGCAACATAACCTGAAGCTGAAACCAAAGAATTGTAGCTCGTTCCAGACGCAGGTGAAGTTCCTAGGGAAGTTGGTCACAGCAGATGGCGTCTCTGTGAATCCTGATAACGTTGAAGCTGTAAAAAATAGGGGATACCAACAACCAAAAAAGAAGTTGAATCTTTTCTAGGCTTCATGAATTACCACCGGGAACACATTAAAAGTTTTGCAGGGATTGCTGCACCTCTTTAAAGTTTGACAGGGCAGAAGAAGGATTTTGTCTGGGGGATGAACATCAACACGCATTCGAGAAGCTACGCGATGCTCTCATAAACGCAGTGACTTTATCCTACCTAAACTCGGAAGAAGTGTTAATTCTTGACACCAACGCCTCGAACACCATGATAGGAGGGGAGCTAAGTCAAACACAGGATGGTAAGGATTGTACAATTGGATTCGCTAGTAAGATACTTAGCCCAACCCAAAGGAAGTACTGTACCACCTGGCTGGAGCTACTGGCCATTGTCACTTTCACCCGGCAATATAGACACTATCTTCTAGGTCGGCGGTTTATTGTACGGACAGACCATAACAGCCTGACATGGCTTCTCAGCTTCAAACACATTGAGGGCCAACTGGCCCGATGGATTGAGGAGTTGTCGCAGTATGATATGGTCATAGTACATAGGGCTGGTAAGCAACATTGTAAGGCGGATGCATTATCCCAGATGCGCAATAACTACCTGCCTGGGGTCAATCTTGAGCAATTGCCTTGTGGGGGGTGCAAGTATTGCACAAGAGTACGAAATCAATGGGAAACGTTTGAGAATGACATCGATTACGTAGTCCCTCTTTCCATGAGACAAGTGACCAGGAAGGTGAGGAAGCTAGGGGAGACAATCCCGGCAAACTGGTTGGAAGACCTTACTGAGGCACAACGTAAAGACCCAGACTTGGGGAGAGTTCTGGCCTGGTAGGATAATGACGTCGTGCCATCGGAACGAGATCTCCAAATGACGAGTCGGGAACACGACATTGGTGGTCCTGCAGAAGTCAATTACGTGTACGGAATAATATTTTGTACTATGTTTGGGAGGATCCAATGTCAACAAGACTCCTGTTTATGGCGCCGAAAAGTTTGCAGCCAGCAATACTCAAGTTAGGCCATGATCATATATCGGCAGGTCACTTGGGGCAGGCCAAGACCTTAGAGAGATTGAAAAGGCGAACTATCTGGTATGGTATGAACCAGTCATGCAAACTGCATGTGGCATCTTGCGGGGTCTGCAACCAAAATAAGAAGGCAGACGTGAAGGCAAGGGCGGAACTTGGACAATACCACGCTGGAGTTCCAATGGAGCGTGTACATATGGATATTCTCGGGCCATTATCAGTGTCCAAAGCAGGAAATAAATAATCCTTTTAATCGTGGATCAGTTTACGAAGTGGGTGGAATGTCACCCTATTCCAGACCAAAATGCTGAGACAATCGTAAGGGTGTTAGTGGATGAATTTATTTCCCGGTTTGGTTGCCCTCTGGAATTACACACAGACCAGGGACGGAATGTGGACTGGAATGTGGTAAGGCACCTATGTGAGGTATTAGAAGTTAGAAAGACTAGGACAACACCTTACAGGCCTTGTTCGAATGGACAAGTCGAGCGGTACAATCGGCTACTGTTGCAGATGATTCGGTGTTATCTCCAGAAACAACAACAGTGGGACCATCATCTCCAACAGATCGCGAGTGCTATAAGAGCCACACAGCATCGTCAGACTGGCTTTACCCCTAATCTGATGATGCTAGGGAGAGAGGTCGATCAGCCAATTGATCTGATGCTGGGAACGGTAACAGAAGGCAAAAACATCCATACCACTTCAGACTATGTCAGCGGAGTGATTGAACAAGGCCAGAAAGCACATATGATTACTCGGGAACATCTGCGGGGAGCCCAATTTCGACAAAAACGGGACTATGACGTCATGGCGCATCAACGTCATTATGACATTGGGGATGTTGTATTCAAGCTGGATACTGCTACTAACGTTGGACGTAGCCCAAAGCTGCAGCAACCCTGGAACGGACCATTCCTAGTGGTTGAAGTGAAGTCTCCTGTGTTGTATAGAATCAAAGGCAGGTAAAAGGAGATGATAGCCCATCATGATCGGTTGAAGCTATACAACAGCGACATCTACCCTGTTTGGTTTAGACGAATGCGGAATCGACTGATCTCCATACTTTCATACTCCATATTTTCGGTATACAAAAGTTATAAGATACTTTTATTTTAAGATGAACACATTTTTTTGTCTAGAAAGTACCGTTGCTTGAGATAGCTTCCGGCTGTTGATTTGTCTGTAAATATCTGATAACTCACCAAAACAAGAGAATTTTACTTTGCGACTATGGAGGCAGTTTGGGGGACTTCTGTAATGGTCCCCCATTACAATTAGTACTTGTTATATATATATATATATAACTTGTCCGAGACATCCCCGATCCATATTTCTATTTGGGAATTTACATTTTCATAATACCCGCCCTATAACTGTTGTTCCAGGTGAAATTGTGTATGTAAACCCCACGTGGTACTGTAGCATACGGACTATCGGGCAGTGCAAGTCATGTGACCGTCATATGTGTAGATGTTTGTACTGTCTTTTTGCACTAAGCATCTACTTGGGCTATGTCAAAATCAGGTGAGTGTCTATATGTAGAATTTCCATTTGTTTATTTACTGTATGCGTAGTTTGTTTAGGCGTATTTGTTGCAGTCATGTAACTGCTATGCAGGCCTAACGGACTGAGCACGTGTGCATTTGCTACACCTTTAGTATATATGTTGTTTTAGAGTGAATTGTTTCATATTCATCAGTTATATTGATGTATTAAACGATATGCAAACAATGCAGAAGTAATTTACACATACTGTACACTCGACTCGTCATTTGGTTGTCGCCTGCACGTAGTCTTGTTTACATTGGTGATCGGCTATTTCGCCGTGGTTACTTTGAGGTAGGTAGGATAACACAAGTTGTAAACATTAACATGTGGTTAAAGTGACAGGGACCCTGAGTTTTCCAAGGGTTGGGAAGCCCCCTAACAGCGAGGTCTGCTCAGGTTCCAACACTACTGAACAACATAAAAACTAAACTTAGTCCAAAATACACTAGATGCCATGTAATATCATGCACTTCCTAAATTGAATCTGTTTTATATTTATCAGTTAGATTGATACATTTTGCGTAATGTTCTGCAAAACAAGTTTACATATAGACTCGACTCTGCATTGGGTTGTCACGTGCACGTGGTCTTGTTTATATATTCCAAGGGTTTGGGAGCCCCCAACAAGCGAGGTCTGCTAAGGTCACACCACTGTACAACTTCGACACTAGATGACATGTAATATCATGTTATAGTAGTATAGAGAGACCATTGCTTAATACAATGTTTTTGTCTAGTCTGATTAGATTTAGATTCGTGAAGTTGATTACAATTTGATTCTATCAATTACATAAACGTTTCTAGTTTTTTTTTCAATTTTGTTTGTTTTATATTGTTGGCTATGTTGTGAAGGATTCTTCCTGCTGCAAGTCCACGTGACAGAAGCCTGTACGTGTCATAGATTATTCGAGGACTTTCCTTGTGTTAGAATGTAAGATTGACATTGCTGTGTTTATGTAACTCCGGAATACATTCATGATGTTGATATTTTTCTTATTTTTCTAATAACAAATCCTATGATTGTAATGAGGTAATTTATCTCGTAGTTCTTTTTATATTGGATCTAATATCCGATTACAAAATGTTTCAGTTGAAATATATCTTTCTTTTATCCAATTTCCTCAAAATGTTTGCTGTTATTTTGCTTAAATTGAACCAAAGCAGTGCATTTGACTAAAAAGTGAGTATAATCTTCTATTGTATTACAGATATTGCATAAGGGGTTGTTTTCTATTTTCCATCGATGTTGTATGAACTATAAATTTCATTAATATGCACTCGTTTAAAATGCTCTTGATCTTATTCATAGGTCATCAGGCAACCTATGTTCATGTGTGTTATAGTTTATAGGGACAGTGTCTATTATGACAATTTGGTGAACAGTTATGGCCTGTACAGGACAGTACTACATCAAGTTATTTTTATCTGATAAATTGAATTGAGGAAACTATTTGTATAACGTAGTACTATGTTTTTTAGACTGTCCCAATAGGAAAAGACTCATGGAAAAGGTTAAGGGTATGGAATTGATGGAAATGTTGGATCAACGGCAATGCATCAAAATCAATCCCAGTTACGAGCGGAGTTCCCCAGGGTAGCGTTTTGGGACCTATTTTGTTCCTAATTTATGTCAACGATCTTCCGGGTGCGACTGAGTGATAGATGCAATGCAGGAGGACATCGACAACATTAGTCAGTGGACTGAGACATGGCAAATGAAACTGAACAAAGACAAGTGCAAATAAATGAATGTCAAGCTTGGCAATACGGACTCAAATCAATGCTATACTTTAACTGATGACAGCAGTACTTCGTTAATTCAGAAAGTGTCACGCGAGAAGGACTTAGGGATAGATTTCGATGACAACTTGAAATTCACTGACCACGTCAATGCGCAAGCATAGAAGGCAAACAGACTGGTGGGTCTGATATGTAAATCCTTCTCATACATGGACCCCTTTTGGAGTACTGTACAACAGTTTGGTTTCCTATGCACAAAAAGGATCGGAAAACACTGGTAAATGTGTAGCGTCGTGCCACAAGGTTGTTGCCTCATCTAAAACATTTAGGCTATAAGGAACGTTTGAGGAAACTAGGAATTCCATCACTAGAATACAGAAGGGAAGGAGCGGACATGGTAAACCTGTACACACTTTGTAACGGTCTGGTGGATGCCAATGTAGACAAATTCACAATATTTGCGGTGGGACAGAACATGCACAACACTACAGGACACAACAAAAACCTCTACAATAAACGTTTTAGAACAAAACTAAGAGGAAACGCCTTTTCAAACCGTGTGACTGAACTCTGGAACAATCTAACACCTGAAGTTGTAAACGAAGACTGAACCGCACATGGAAGGAATACCCAGGCTAACTTAGCCCCGCATTCAACAGATCGGGAGGTACAGCCCGGGATTGTGTACCAGTTACACCAGTAGACGCGTCAATAGTAATCATAGACCTATGGTATGACGTCGACAACGATGAGATAGTGCTACACCCTACAGTTAGTGAGTATTTATGTTCCTTTCTTATTGTTTGCGCGATTCCATTAATATGTAGAAACGTTCATAATAGGTACTCGTCAGTCATTTAATAAGAAAAATAGGGTAACGTCAGTATACTGGTTTATTGTTGTACTATTATAATTCCGAGTATTCCGGAATTGGCTCCGTTTTATGTATTATTATGACGTCATTGTTTCCTCCATTAAAAAAAACGACGTCTCATCGTGGTTGGTTGTGTGAATCCTTACTGGCGTAGCTTGCCGTGAGAACCGTGACAACAAAACACAGCAACTGTGACAAAAAGCGCACTTAACGCGGCAGAACGTGACAAAACTTGAAGGGACCGTGATATGCAGTGGAATAAACATGCTTCACGTCCCTCTACGCACCGCCTCCAATATTGTTACCGCTTATTACGTACTGTCACGTTTTGTTGCGTTCACCCCGTTTTACTACGGCCTACTAGGTTTCTCATCCGCACCGTGACTGCCGTGGTAAAGTTTTTGACAGTTTAAAAATCTGGCCCGGCATCCACAGCATTTACGGCCTGTCACGTTTGCCCCCCGCGTCGTCTCACGTCCATCCCGTTTTGTCTTCGGTGGCCTGAAACGTGATTGCCGTGGCCGCCAGGAACATAATGACATGTTTTGGCTCGCTGTGCATACAACGAATATAGTTCAGGGGCATTGCATATAGTGCTCCTTGTGGAGGTCGAAAAAACATTTCTCGAGAAAAGTAACATGCGAGTTCAGTTTATTAAATTGACTTAATTACATTTTCATCTGACGAATTCTATTTTGAAGAAAGGACATCGGATGGTTGGCAATGGGGAGTGGACAACGCCTGCTGAGTATGAGGTAAATTACATGCTTACAAGTTTATCACAATAAGTCAGTGTATGTTTTATGAAAAAAATAGATTGAGTAAACATTTGATTAATCATTCTATTTGTTCAAAATCACACATCGCTTAAAAATTAGAATGTAATGTAGTTATTTAAATTAAATTCAATTGAATAAATTTAATTCAAAGCTCTTAATATATCTGATTTGTAAGAAAAAATGTACATAATATGATTTATTTATTGACTTTTACGTTATTTAAAAAACCCTTTGTAGATATTTCCTGCTTATAATAATATAGATATTTACAGTTTCAAGTGTAATTGACTCAATATTCTCTTACCCTGGACAGGTGTATCCGCATTTTTACCGGTGTGAGATGTCCTTGTCTCACCCTAGGGTTGAGACGGGGGGATTCCCCTATTCCTAACAATGGCATGACGTCACTTTAACAATACAATGACGTCACGTCAACAATCCATCAACGTCACGTCAACCCTGAATTTAGCATATAACGTTATCATTACATTGTGCATATGATACACAATGAAAGAACAGGGTAAGAGAAAAAGAATCATTCACCCCCTTGTGGGTGAGATAGTGGAATCTCAACCCTCGGGGAAAGATTCTTTAGTTGCCAAACACTCGGCAAAGCCTCGTGTTTGGCAACTTAAGAACCCCCCCCCTCGGGTTGAGATTCCCCTATCTCACCCCAAAGGGGGTGAAAGATTCTATTAACCTTTGATGAGGTCATTGTCATTATCACTCGATTATGACAGTCATTCTCGTGCGCGAAGTAATACATACACCGTGTACGTCAACAATCCGGGGGTTTCCATTGCTATTTTCAGAAGTACACAGAAGTACTGGGGATACCAGATTTGTACAAATCATTAGTGTATTAATGCAAAAGATACATTGTTGAAATGTATACATTCCGATGACGTCACGTTGTTTACAGCGTCTGACTCTATATGATGATTACTACACCGACTGCCAGGACGGCTGGATTTTGTGTTTTTCTACGTGATTGTGTTCATTTACATACGTTTACTTTGATGACAAAGTGTAAACAGTACTCAGAAATACGATAGTAAGTTCAATTTTGACAATAACGTTTGATATACGGCAATTTTGCCGTAATATTTTCAACTGCACTCGATAAGGCTGGTATGGTAATCACAGGACGGGTTCGATAAATTTACATGACCTACATGTCATATGCCTGTCTAAATACAGATGGTTATATCACAACACACGTACTGGGTTATGTAATGATTTTGAAGTTAAAATCAAAATTATAAAATTACTTCGTGTGTTTGTGATATTGTATGCACTACTCAGTATGCCTAGTTACCGTTGACATGGAGTCTGCAAAAACACGGGAGAGTTCGAAAACTGCGAGCGGTTGGTGCCAGATTATAGCGTTCCAGAATTAAACGGGACATCGTTTTGTTTTAAATATAACTGTTGAGATGAACTGGTAACGGAATGACAACGATTTTATTGTAACAGTTTACGAGTGCGAGTGAAAATTTGTACGAGTGCATCGGGTTACGCAACTTTGCAAGTTGTGCTAAAAATAGCCACATAGAGCAACTTTGAAGTAAGAATTATCGCTAATAAGTTATGATCACATGTTTAAGAGCGAACATACAAACCAATGTGATGGTTTTTTTTAAGATATGCAGCCGATTCCGTTCGTATAGGTCCTAGTTTGGTCGTATCATGTCACGGTGGCCTTCGATGCGTGGTGCGAAGCGTAACCGTCACACATCGGGCATGTAATCCTCCCGTGTGATATATTCCGATTAAAAGAACGCATTGTATTTGATATTAAAGAAAAATACTTTAAATGTAAGGATTAACTTTCTATTTAGTTTTGGTTATCGGGTGATAACTACAATGGAACTCGAATAAATCAATCATCATCGGCGAATCCTTAAATAAAGAAATGCTGACTTAAACTGCAGGCGCAATTATTAACAGATAAGCGTCCGTAGAGATAATTATTTATAAGCACGTCTGTCGCTGCTAGTATAGACTTTAGTCTGCTGTCCTAGCCTTATATCGAATCAGGTCAAACTCACGTAGATGCTTATCAGCTGTTTGACCCCCACAACCACATTCATGTCTCGCTAAAGAGATCAGATATGTGTTAAATATAGCTTTATAAAGAAGCGCTTCACCTATATAGCTTATACAGAGGAAAAAAAGAATTGACGGTTTGTATATAATTGTGTTTCGGAATAGGTTCGAAATACAGATCTTTAACTCAATCTTAGAGATTTAAGCTGCATTTTTATTTATATGTATCTCTTGATTTCGAACATAAATTATTGTTTTGCTTCTATATACATCTTAAAGCAGAATAATATTTGAACATAATTCAAGTTATATGCATATGTGAAAGAACATTTTCAAAGATATTTTAATAATTGTTTGTATATATGTTTGTCTAAGGTTTATTTCTGTGTGGCTCCAGAAGAATTGTATCATCAAGCTAACATGAAAGACACTGAAACACGTGGTGAACTGAGTGCCAAGCATGAGTTATTCCCCCTTCACAAAAATGCTGACTCGGAGAATGATACAGTTGAATCAAATGGGAAGAAGATACAAGAAGAAGAAGAAGTCTACAACAATGAGGCCGTGGGCAGAGCAACATCATTTTTACAAGAACTCAAACACAGCAAAGACACAAGGTTCAAGTTCATCCTGAGCATATGTGTTTCCATGGCATTCAACATATTGGTTTGTATTTAAAATCTACAAAAGTTAACGCACAATAAACAAACAAAATCCCTAAATGAAAATGTCAAAGAGAAAATTAGATAAAAAATTAACCAGGGGAAGATTTCTTGCAGCACTACTTATAGTCAATATCCTTACTCATTCGTTATCAGAAGGATACACTTTTTTCGTGTCGCTAAAATACCTAAGTTAAAACACCAATAAACACGTGATGGTTCGTGGAAAGAATACACTTGCTGTATTTTACAGCGTCGTAAAGGCAACTAATGTTGAATCAGAATCCTCTGTGTTTTCTGCCAATGGACTAAAATTGGACCCTTGCTATTGCTGAAACACTTAAACTTCGGCATTTTTCTTTTTCTCTCCTGCCTACTCTTTCTTCTCGCAAGTTCCTCCCTCGGCGCCCATTTCATATATCCTTTGCTTTATTTTAAAGCCACAAAGAAATAAGATGACGTGTTGTGTGGCAAGTTCAGTTCATCAAAGTCACCAGTTTGAAGGATCTGAATATGTGATATCATGTTTATTTCGTTTTTGTTACAATGTATCGTCTTAATATTTGAGGTCTAAAATCGTGTTTTTGGTCCCATTACAAACTTGTGTGTGTTAACTATGGTTTAACTTTGAAACTATAGGGAAGTAATATGCATGGAAGGAAATTGGGGTTATGATGTCACAATATCTTGAAAATAAGGCCCAACAATGTAGCTAATTTCGAAACATATACTGGATACATAAATATATAGCTTAATTCATAATAAAGAGCTTCCTAATGAACTGTTTCAGATATAATCTCAAAACATTTTTTTGTTATTAAGCCAATATCCAGTCACGATTTATGTACAATTTTGTTTTCATTTTCAGTGTTTTAGATGTAAATATATTAAAAAGATCTTATAAAGAATGATAAAACACAGGATTTTTCACTGATACCTGGTTTCATGCCGAGTGCAGTTGAAAATATTACGGAAAGAACGGTATTGTCAAAATTGAATTTACTATTGTACTATCTTGTTAATGACTTTTCAAAAATATTTCTTTTGGTGAGGAAACTATTTTATACGTTTGACTGAAAGGTTTCCTGTGCTTATTTGCTAGACCGGCCGGCCCATATTCAATATTTGCGTTATCGAGATCTTTTCACAATATATTAGATAATTGATGGCCTGCGAACTTACGTCATAGTCATTGATGGAAACACTCAACCTCTTATTAGTTCGTCTTGCGAGGTCTCTTTTTTTAAGTAACATAAAATATTTTTTTCTCCAACTTTAGACTTGATAAACACCTCTTTTTAAAATGTTCATGGGAAACAAGTCAGCTTAGGACTTACGACATTAATATCAAACTGCGCACTTTGTCACTTGAATTGGATGCTGAAAGCCTTTCAGTCACAAACAAAGAGTATTCGGTGTTTCAAGATATACACACTGAACCTGTGCTTTGGGAGGCTTTCGGACACGTTGTGGATTAACTTACCATTTGCTATTAGAAAGTCAAATACCCTGGCCAAATTCAATAAGGACATCAAAACTCACCTCCTCACGCATGCACTTAAGGCTTTTTGCATACCACCATTTGTTTATTTATTTATGTGCACATTGAGATGAGTATCTTCTTGCTTGATGTATAATGGTGATTGTAAGCCTTTTTTGTTTAACAATTATAACTAAAACTATTATCCATATGTTGCTAAGAGCTTAAGAGTTATTTTATCAATTATATAGGGCGCTATATAAATGTTGTATATCATAATTATTATTAGTATCATCTGATGATATACGCTTGTTACTGTTAAGGATCAAAATGAAACCTGACAGTGACTGATAATGATACTGACTAATATGGTGTTGTTCATTGTGATCGAGATACCCCATATATTTGTAGAAACCGCGTTTTTCTGTCTAAGTTTTCTAAAATATATCTTGATAACATAACGACCTATAAGCGACTTTTGCCTTGTTAATCACCCACTGGCTTAGATCTCGATTTTTGTAGCTTTAACATTTTGTCATCCATGTTCGCTGAAAAGATTTTATCAGTCCAGCTTTGCATATCCCGTCTACTTTTTAATGTTATTTTGTGTTAAATTTATACTCACGATGAATGCTGATGGTTAAATTACAGCGTACGCCTCATGAAATATGAATTTGAAACATTTTTTTTGATAAAACGAAAATATGCTGTCGAACCGGTAAATTAACGGACCATTATGTTATTGAAACAGAGCGTAACAAATAATCCTTCTCAGTAAATATTTACAATTTGTACAACATATCTGTTTTCGGAACATATTAAAGTTTCATGCACGATTAAAATAAATATGCTTATCATTAACAGGAGCTTGGATGCCCTTTTATATAGTTATACATCATGGATAGTTTCATAAACTTTGTACATTGATTTTTCAATGCTCTGTGAATTAAATAATGTTTTAAGTATATACTTCCAGTGTTTGAAAGTAATGTAACACAGATATTTAGTTGAAAAACATTCTGAATTTAAATAAGTGCGCCTTTATGTTAGATCAATAGCCGATGACCATTAAAAAAAATGTTTGTTTTAAGTTATGGACCAAATTCTCTATATGATTTTCCACACATAAGAGCTCGTCCTGAAGTCCAATTCATAACCTACAAAAGATCCCTTCATAAACTTAACTAACTATCATTCTTTATAGACTATCCACGTGATATGAGTGATTGTTATCAACAGAATATAACTACATTCGGCTGTTCTTTATAAGCAATCCCCCATGTCAATTCCATATATCATGGACCCAATGTCTATGGTATTAAAATAATATGTGTGTCAATTAAAAGTTCTGATCGCTGGTTCGTGTAGACATGTGAATTAATTTTACGGATTACTATTTCCTTTCTAATTAAAAGTGTCTAATAAACTGATGCTCAAACTTGTTCAATTATAATAACGCGGTCCAGCCTGTGCACGAAATATAAATCCTGCTTATACAATGCCTATTGCATGAGGGTGAGCAAGGACTTTTGACCATAAGGTGTGATGCTCGATATATAAACCCATTGCCCTTTGTATAGAGATTGAGTAAGGATGATTAATCATTAGCGGTATTTGCTCTAAGAAAAAGACCGCGAACTTTTGACCCCGTAAATCAAACGTTTCGCAATATACACAGACATTTGCTAATAACATATTGCGCGTTTGTATAATCAAGTCATTGATCTGTTGTGTTCAACTTTGATTTACATATATATAGCAGGTGAGTCAATGTTCACAAGGTGCATAGGTATATCTATTGTTAAAAGAAGGTAATTATCATAGTGACAGGTGATGCTGTCCTGACGTAGTTGGATACAACTCAACATGGAATAGTTGGTCACAGGAAAACATGAATATCCCACGTAAAACTCAATGCAACATGTCATTAAGGTCTGACTATACATATTTCTAATAGTGTAATCAGTCATACAAAAATCTTTTCTGTCATTGGTGTCTTTTTGTCTTCATAGGGATGGACGAAAGGACAACTTGGACCAGCATTTGTTGATCTTTTAGTCATTTCCGGATGTGACGTCGAAAAAGGATCCTTCTTCATGACTTCTTACTTCACTGGTCGCGTGATTGGTCCAATATTGGCAGGGATACTATCTACAAAGATAAATCGATACATGTTGTTGGTGTTGTCTTTACTGGCAAATGCTTCAACTGTTGTTGCCATACCGTGGTGTTTCAATTTTTACTTGATGATGGCAGCGCATGTCCTTCATGGGATGTTCGGCGGCGTGCTTTTAGTAGGTAAGTGCTTTTTGTTGTCTTAACGTTTAACCATTTGGTAAGAACAGTGACGACTGACCGGATGTATCAGCGCAGTCATTTTTTAAACAAGTTCAAGCTTCGTCTAACTGACTTCTGGCCGGATATCTTTGTTTTTGTGAACGGTTATTCACAAGTCCAATTTGGTAACCTGTTTTAATTGTCTCGTAATTTTTCTGTTAAATTGCTGAATGAGTTTGTCCATTTTGACAACCATGACAACATTTGTCTGTCTGTTTCTTTCTTCCTTCTTTCTTTGAACGATTGGGTTGGGCGATTTTAATTGGTCGCCAATTATATGTTAAACCTGTCGTACTTCCGATACACCTTACATACACTTGATTTGTATTCCTCATGCACGGTAGGTTGTGAAATTCTGACATATATGCGTTTTTCTTGTATTTTGTAGTAGTGACTAAGGAAGCAGTTTCCATTTGGGGACCAACGACAAGAGGGCGCTCTTATCTTCAAATAATAAATGCAATTTTCGCTATTTCTGCATTTCTCGCTCCGATGGCTACAGCACCATTTCTAGTTCAAACGCCCGAGGATCCCACCCCACATCAAAACTCAAGTACTAACTTTACAATTACTTATCATGACGTCATTCCTACGACGTCATATCAAATTGTTGATAATATGACTTGGAACCAGATGAACGTTACACTTCCAACCCCAAAGTCGAGACTTTTTATTGCGTATTCGATTTCGGGTGGACTTGCCATTTTAGCTGCATTTCCGTTCGTTGCTATGTATACCATTTCCACTGGAACTTCAACACATCTTGTTAGTGACAAAAAAATGAATTTCCTCGGCAATCTTCCTAAGATTGTAAAATATCTTCAATTCCTTAATATTGGTATTTATTCCGGTGTGTTGACAGCCGGTGATTTCATTTTCAGCGGATATTTAACCGTGTTTTGCGTTCAGTATCTACACTGGTCAAAAACTTCCGGTTCTTTTTTAACTTCGACGTACTTTTTTGCCAAATTTAGTGCCAGATGTTGTGGTGTATTCTTAGTTCGTGTAATGCAATCCCAGTCGATTTTATTGACATTTGTGCTATTGTCTACTCTCGGGTTTGTCGGAATGTTAATAAGTGCATATCTAAATTTAGAAGTTGGTTTATGGATTTCTACATTTACAATTGGTTTCACGGCAGGAGTTGCATGGCCGACATTCATCAGTTGGACAAACGAACATTTCATTTCCATGAACGCAAAAGTATCAGCTTACATCATGTCTACAGCATTTATTACTCTCCTAATTAGCCCCGTGTTATGTGGATACCTGATGGAGGAAGTTTCTATGATGTGGTTTCTATGGTTATGCACATGCAAATCCCTTGTAAATGTCGTTAACGTATTATTTATATTTTTCTACACACGTGCTGCAAAAAAACGTGCAAGCTAATGTTAGATGATTTTTTATAATGTTCTTGTACAAGGTTTATATTGCCATTGCACGATAACATAGTGAAAACATGAAGTCAGTATGTAATTATATCCTTATTTATACCCAATTTTGATTAAGAAAGTGTACATAATTGATTATTGCCTAGAGTTTTTTCTAACTTGTAATTTAGATCCGTTTAAACCAAATTCTATTCATGTCAATCAACATGTACAATAACAAAAGCCGTTTGAATGTGATGATTGGGAAACAAGTTCATCTCATCAATTTAAATGTTGATTGATGAGTAAGACTATGTATAAGTACGTTGAGAAAATCTAGTCTATAGGTCATTTTCACTGAAATCATATCAAGAAGGTTTTAACTCAAAGAAGTGAAAAAAAACATTATTTGATAAAGCTTTAGTATCGAAAAAGCAATGTTGGTGCTTCTATGTAAATTAATCCACTTAATTTGAATGGTTTGAAACCCGTATTTAACATAGATATCAAGAGAGCTTTCCTAGGGTTTTCGGTATCACCGATTACTTGTTTGGTGTAACAAATAATCAGAATACATGTTTGGTGTAACAAATACCAATGCTCTAAAAACAGAATACATGTTTGGTGTAACAAATAAACAGAATACATGTTTGGTGTAACAAATAATCAGAATACATGTTTGGTGTAACAAATAAAAAGAATACATGTTTGGTGTAACAAATAATCAGAATACATGTTTGGTGTAACAAATAAACAGAATACATGTTTGGTGTAACAAATAATCAGAATACATGTTTGGTGTAACAAATAAACAGAATACATGTTTGGTGTAACAAATAATCAGAATACATGTTTGGTGTAACAAATAAACAGAATACATGTTTGGTGTAACAAATAATCAGAATACATGTTTGGTGTAACAAATAAACAGAATACATGTTTGGTGTAACAAATAATCAGAATACATGTTTGGTGTAACAAATAAACAGAATACATGTTTGGTGTAACAAATAATCAGAATACATGTTTGGTGTAACAAATAATCAGAATACATGTTTGGTGTAACAAATAATCAGAATACATGTTTGGTGTAACAAATACCAATGCTCTGAAAACAGAATACATGTTTGGTGTAACAAATAATCAGAATACATGTTTGGTGTAACAAAGATCAATGCTCTAAAAACAGAATACATGTTTGGTGTAACAAGTATCAATGCTCTAAAGACAGAATCATGTTTGGTGTGAGAAATACCAATGCTCTAAAAACAGAATACATGTTTGGTGTAACAAGTACCAATGCTCTAAAAAGAATACATATTTGGTGTGAGAAATACAAATGCTCTGAAAACAGAATACATGTTTGGTGTAACAAATATCAATGCTCTAAAAAAAGAATACATGTTTGGTGTAACAAATACCAATGCTCTAAAAACTGAATACATGTTATGGGTAACAAATACCAATGCTCTAAAATCAGAATACATGTTACGGGTAACAAATATCAATGCTCTGAAAACAGAATACATGTATATTTGTAACAGGTGACCTCATGATATCATACGTGTTGCATCTTGGAGATTACAATCATAAGGGTTCTCTTATAGAATTTCGAATGGGTCAGTTGCCTAGCAACCGGATCAATCGGCAAGTAATATACTCTTTTTGATACATGGATATCGGACGGAGTAAAGGCAAGCATTGTTACTATATTTAGGGATATTAAAAATAGTTCGGTTGTTTCGGGCACTTTGAGTACGATATTCTGTATTTAATAAGCAAAATCAACATAGAAAGTCGATCAACACGTGACTACGAAATGGATCATGGTACGAAGATTTACTCAGACCTTGAGTAGTTGCTTCAAAATATTGATATTGATACTGCATGTCTTCTAAGACATATGTTTTAGTCTCAGCAAAAATAAATGTTCGAGTTGACTCCCTTACATTATGAAACGTTTCGAAATATTTATCTACCATACTGTTGCATGAGTGCAAGTGCAAGTCAAATATAATATGTGATAATGTAATTGATAACATGATAGCCAACATTTACAAACAAATTATGATTGGTTTGTTTCAATCGTTAATTTAATGCTCAAAAAACATAGGATTATAGTTTTATATTTACATTTGCCCTGCAATGTCACATGTAATAAGAACGTGACCAAAAACTTAATTTACAAAACGGACGTCACGTTTGACTATCGTGTGGAATGCGATTCCCGCTTCGCGTTAAATGAAATGTAGTTAGTATCTCTCCCTAAAGTAACAGGACCAGAGAGAAACAAACATTCTCTCCGTGTTTCACAATGAAGTCTATCAACAATATTATGTCTACTCTTATTCCCTTTGCGATCTAAACATCCAAAATGTGTTGTTTTCCTACAATATCAACAAATTACAGAACGGAGACATTCTCACCGCAACGACCTCATTACTCAATTTCCGATTTTAGCAGAATTGCGTCCGCTGAGTGACGTCATAACAAGATGTCGATAATAGTAAATAACGTATTGTTACAATGATACATGTGACAAAGTTGGTACAAACGTATAAAAGTTGTTGTATCCAAGGACTATATTTGAAAATGAAATGCACGTGCTTTTAGCTGTTCCACCCGTTGAATATTCCGTTGAATCTTGGTGTTTTATCCTTTAACGTCGTTATTATTACAAAAACAAAAACAACAGAAAGTCGTGAAAATGTTAACTTAAGCATTAAACTACTTTCAGATGTGGTTGATAGGCAGTATGCATGCTCCCTGGGTGATAGGAAAAATTATAACGCGGTTCGTGTAATATTTCAGTAATGCAGTGGACATGCATATTGCCTTTGAACCGCATCACAAAGGGTTTAGTGCTTAAATGTATCCCAAATTGACTAATCGCCAGCAAAATAAATTACCTGTATGACTATAAACATTGTGCAATGTTAAAAAGTTAAAAATGAGCTTTGCAATGGCTCTGAAAGTAAATAATCATTTGTCTAAACGACTTGCTAAAATGAATAATGTACTGATGACAAAGTTAACAAATTGATTATTACAAAAAGCCTTGTAATGGGTAACGTAGCCCAGCTAAACGTACGTTGAAAGATTTTGACATTAATAAATCCATAAGCAACGGAGACATCAAAATGTTGCATAATAATGAACAGTGAAAGGAACGGTTAAATCTGATATCAAATAGTTTATCATGTTTCAAAAAAACATTAAAAACTAATACATCCAATGCTGTGTGTTTTGAGAACATTATCACGTAAACTCAGTTACGACAGAATATCAATTTACAGTTGCTGCTTATTTAGTACATATTGAATTAAAAGTCAGTATAAATTATAAAAATGACAAAATTATAACTATTCCAGAGATTCAAGCAGACAAATTTTAGAATAAAGCAATCTTCTGTTTGAGGTGGTAGCAGCCACGAAGCGGTGTTTGTCGAGAAACCACGAAATTTGGCCCCCATGAAAAAAAGAAAAACTACATTAGGTATCAATTGCTCTGATACTGCTTGATTTGTGTACATACCTAGTATATACAACCATTAATACCATATTGACTACTGTATTAGAAGCCTTCGACAGGCTTAAGTAACAAAACCAAATTGGAGATCTATTTTTCATCATGTATCCAAAGAGCAAGGGACTTAAAAGAGCCCCACAGAAAACAGCTATATAGAGGTAGGATGTCGTTTTACCACGAACGGGAACTAAAAGCTCGTTTATCCAGCGCAGCATAGAAGACCAGGTCGTACCAACAGGAGCCCCAAGAAAGGACACTGATATCCATATCCCAGCATCAGCGAGGAAAAACCCACTGGCGGATAGTCCTATTAATCCTACTGTATACCCAATAATTGAAAACATGAGCATTTTTAGTGGCATAAAGAAGGTGGCAAAGCATACACCAAAGATCCTGCCAAAGATGCTCGAAAGAAAAAATAGGGATGTCAGAAGTGCGCCGGAAGTCTTTGTCCATCCTAAGTGTTGAACACAAAACGCTGCCAGGTATCCAGTGAATGTGACATCAAGTGATGTAAATACAGCCGAAAATATATCAACATTGACTAATTGCAGTAGTTTGATAATTAAGATTTCCAATAAAATGTGATTCTTCGTCAGTGGAATTCCTCGAATCAAGTTTTGGTGATTTACCCAATAAACGGAATTGTTGATAAAATGCTCAATCCGACTGAAATAGAATACGCAACACAAACGTCTAATGTTGGTTTTTCTCTATCAGTTATGTTTAAAAGTGGAATAGGTTTTGCAGATGATATTGTTCCTTCTACAGTAAAAGTGGTTTAATTTTTTTTAAAGGTAGTGTCGTCTGAAGCGTTCCGGAGTGAATTTTTCATGGCAACGTTCATTGTTGTTGGTAACAAGAAAGGGGAAGTAACCAGTGGCGATATTAGTCCCATTGCAGCAAATGTTGCTGCAAAAATATTTATGTATACTCGTCCCCTTGTCGTGGCTCCCCATATTGAGAAGACAACCGCTATTAGCACTGAAAAATTCAAATGACTGAAATTTATAAAAAAAAAAATAATTAAGGAAATGCGATAAAAAAAAACAGATGGCGATAAATATGATTTACATACAATTTACCTGAAAACGTAAACATAGATATTCAGTACATTTCACTTAAACTGGTAGCCTTGATTTGATCTGTAGATAAGGAATACCCTTCCAAGTAAGTCGCATTACTTTAAAATAAATGAAATTAAGGAATAAAGATATATATTATTAAAAACAGTAAATGGGGTAGTGAGGTGTTTTTTAATGAAGATTATAGTTTTGATCCTTTTTGCTGCTTAGGAAATATTAAAGATATAAATTACGTAGATAAACATAAAATATGCAGGTAAGGACCCGGATGTAAAAAAAGGAATTTGACCTAATCATTTTATTATGTCGATTTTTCGTGAAATATCGGAAACGTTCAGAGAATTTTGCCGAAATAAGTTTCTTACGAACGATATAAAATATTTATGATAATGAAACAATTCCGAATTTGTTCAAATTAAAGCTATCATTAGTCTATTTATTAACTACTAGCAGCAGTAGTCAATTACAAAAATTACGTTAATTCAGTCTCAACGAGACCA